CCCTCAAGGGATGTCCGACGGGCAGTCAGACATCCCTCTCACAATCCAGGACTGCTGGCTCCCAACTGTTTGCCTGCCTGCCTTCCTGATTGCCCCTAACAGCTTCTGCCTGCCAGCCTGATCACCCCCTAACCACTCCCCTGCTAGCCTGATTGATGCCTAACTGCTTCCCTGACAGCCTGTTTGCCCTTAACTGCCCTCCCCTGTAGGCATGGTCACCCCTAATTGCCTCTCCTACAGGCCTGGTCCCCAACTGCTTTCCCCTGTAGGCCTGGGTCCCCCCAACTTCCCTTCCCTGCAGGTTCAGTCACCCCCAACTTCCCTCCTCTGCTGGCCTGGTCACTCCTAACTGCCCTCCCTGCAGGCTTGATCACCCCAACTGCCCTCCCTTGCAGACCTGGTCCCTCCCAACTGCCCTCCCCTGCAGGCCATCTTGTGGTAGCCATCTTGAGTCCACATGGGGGCAGGATCTTTGACCACATGGGGGCAGCCATCTTGTTTGTTGGAGTAATGGTCAATCTGCATATTACTCTTATTAGATAGGATAGACGCCTGGTGCATGGGTGGGGGCCAGCTGGTTTGCCCTAAAGGGTGTCCTAGATCAGGATGTGGATTCCCTTGGGGTGTGGGGTGGCCTGGGAGAGGGGCCTGTGGGGTTTACAGGCCTGCCATCCCCCCAGTGGCCCAAACAGAGGCCCTGGTATCTGGGATTTGTTTATCTTCTATAACTGCAACTTTGTAGCTTGAGTGGAGAGCTATCCAGGGTGTGTGGAAAGCTTGGCTTCCTCCATCTCCAGGGAAACTCAAGCCTCCCTCCTGCTCACTCCATGGCCACAGCCATCTTGGTTGGGGTTAATTTGCATACTCGCTCCTGATTTGGCTGGTGAGTGTGGCTGGTAGGTGTAGCAGAGTGATGGTTAAGTGTAGTGAGTGTGGCTGGTAGGTGTAGCAGAGTAATCTTTAGTAGATAGGATAACAAATGGCCACAAACTCAGTAGCTAAAACAGCACTCATTTCTTATCTCCTAGCTCTGGAGGTCAAAGCCCAGGCAGACACACTGGCTGCTCTTAAGTTGTTACAAGTCAAAACTAAGATGCCAGGGGCCTGGGCTCAGACCTGCAGTCTCTGGGGGAGATCTGCCTCCAACCCCATTCAGTTTTGGCAGAGTCGCTCCTGTGGCCACTTGTGACTGAGCTTCCATCCCTGCAGGCCGTGGGCTGAGGGGGGCTCTTGCTTCTAGGTTCCACTTTCAGGCAGCAGCAATGCATGAGTCCTCCTCCTGCTTTGCATACCTCCCACTCCCTCTTCTCTCACCAGCTGAAGAAACTGCTTTTAAAGGGCTCCTAGGATTAAACTGGAGCCTCTCAGAAAATTTCCCAATCTCAAAGTTAGCTGATTAGCAACCATAATTAATCTGCAAAATCTCTCTTGCCAGGCAACATAAGTTGATGGTGGGAAGTTCTGTGCTATGGAGGCAACAGAGTGTGAGAGTTGCTAACTTGGTGTTGTCTGCCTTTTTCTGTTTTAATCCTCACCCAATGATATGTTTTGTTTTGTTTTTAAGATTTTTTTAAACTGATTTTTAGAGAGAGAGGGAGGGAGAGATTAGAAACATCAATGATGAGAAACATTAATCAGATGCCTCCTGCACGCCCCCTACTGGGGATCGAGCTCACAACCCAGGCATGTGCACTAACTGAGAATCAAACCAGCAACCTGAGCCACACTGGAGGATATATGTTTTTATTGATTACATTTAGAAATTTAGGGAGGGAGGGAGGGAGGGAGAGAGAGAGAGAGAGAGAGAGAGAGAGAGAGAGAGAGAGAGAGAGAGATGGTGAGAGGGAAACATTGATTGGTTGCCCCCCATACCCACGCAACCAGGAATCAAATCTGCAACTTCCTGTTATACAGGACGACACTCCAGCCAAAGGAACACCCAGCCAGGGGTGTCTTTTTCATTTTCATTATTCTGGTTGGCCATCTAACACCATTCATTCAGCAAACATTTAGCAAGTCCTCTCTCTCCAAAGTGTATTTATGGACTGGATGTAGTGCACACAGTAGGCACTCAATAATAAATATTTTTAAACTGATTTTCCAGATATTAAAGATACAAAGCTCAATTACACATGAACTCTGCTCACAGGAGCTTAAAAATATACATGTAGAAAAAGACCGGTGACCAGCATGTAAATAACACTCCACAATAGAAAAAGCAATAAGGGCCATGAAGAGCTGCATGAGACTGCTAGACAAATTCAGAGAAGAGAGAAAATGCATTTTTATTTAGAGAAAGAAACATCAGGGGACACTGCCTGGACTGGGCAGCATTTAAATGAGCTCTGTAAGAATGCACTGGGACTTAGACATGCAGAGGTGATGGAGAGCAATGGTGACAGCAACACTCCAAGCAGACAGAGAACATGAACAGATGACAGAGCACTCACAGAAGAAATCCAAGAACTGGAAACTAGCAGCTTTCTGGACACATTCAATGCCCACAAGTATTTTGTTTGGTCAACTTGAAGTTTTTTCACAGGAACCCAAAATGTCAACCCAAGCCATGATGCTTAATTAATATTTGACAAAGGAAGCAAGAGCATTCAATCGAGTCAAGACAGTCTCTTCAACAAATGGTTTTGGGAAAATTGGGCATTTTCATGCAAATAAATAAAACTAGAAGACCAACTTACACCATACACAAAAATAAACTCAAAATAGATAAAAGACTTAAACATAAGATGGGAAACCTTAAAAATCTTACAAGAATCCATAGGCAGCAAAATATCAGACATATGTCATAGCAATATCTTTACTGACACAGCTCCTAGGACAATGGACTAAGGAGAAAATAAATGGGATGACATAAAAAATAAAAAGCTTCTGCACACCAAAAGAAACCATCAAGAAAGCCTACTGCCTGGGAGAACGTATTTGCCAATGTTACATCCAATAAGGGTTTAATCTCCAAAATTTATAGGGAACTCGTATAACTTAACAAAAGGAAGATTAAACCAATCAAAAAAATGGGCATAGGACCTAATTAGACACTTTTCAAAAATGGACATACAGAAAGCCGAGACATATGAAAACATGCTAAAGTCACTGATCATCAGAGAGATGCAAATCAAACTGACAATGAGGTACCATCTCACACCTGTCAGAATGGCTACCATCCACAAATCAACAAGTGCTGGCAAGGATGTGGAGAAAAAGGAACCCTCCAGTGGTTGAGGAGGGAGGAAGCTTGCAGTCCCTGTTTCTGCTGACAGCCACAAGGAATTGATGCAGTGCTCACTATATCCTAGATTAGGGGTGTCGAACTCAATCAGAGAAGGGGCCAAAATCTAAAATCCAGCCTAAATCGCGGGCCGAATGGTTTACTGAACAGTCATAAACTGTCATTGTGATGGAAACGCTGCGGAGTGCAGAGATGACAGCGCAGTGAGGGCCACATTGCAAGGCCTGGCGGGATGGATTTGGCCCGCGGGCCTTGTGTTTGACACATGTGTCCTAGATGCTTGAAATTTACATCATCTTCATCTCTGACCACAACTGAACAACAACACAGGCCAACAGGACATTCCTATGGATTATGCCTTTCTTTCCTATTGATCTTGAAGCTATCCCCTGAAGTTCTAACACAGTACTCCAGACACTGGGAGGAATTAGAAATTGCAGGAGAAGGAACACCACATAACCAGACATCCTGAAAAGAGAGACCATGGGGAGACAAAGAAATAGCCCGCACATGAAAGAAAAGCAGGCATCACCAGAAAAGGAAGTAAACGGGTTAGAGGCAAGCAACCTACCAGAGCAAGAATTCAGAGTAATGATCATAGGATGGCTAAAAAGAATAGAAGAGAAATTTTACAATAACCAATAAGAAATGAGGAAGAAACATGAGGAATTGAAGAACCAAGAAGAAATGAAAAATGACATCTCTACCATGAAGAACTCAATAGAAAGCATCAAGAGTAGACTAGATGAAGCAGAGGACCGCATCAGTGAGCTAGAAGAAAAGATGGAAAAAAATACCCAATTAGAGCAGCTTGTAGAAAAAACATTAAAAAGCAAGAGGAACCGAGACCGGTTTGGCTCAATGGATAGAGCGTCGGCTTGGGGACTGAAAGGTCCCGGCTTCGATTCCGGTCAAGGGCATGTACCTTGGTTGCGGGCATACCCCCCAGTAGGGGGTGTGCAAGAGGCAGCTGGTCGATGACTCTCTCATCGATGTTTCTAGCTCTCTATCTCTCTCCCTTCCTCTCTGTACAAAATCAATAAAATATATTTTAAAAAATAAAAAAAATAAAAAAATTAAAAAAAAAAAAAAGCAAGAGGAGAGCCTACGGGAGCTTTGGGACAATACAAAACAAAACAATATTCGAATAATCGGGGTTCCAGAAAGAAAGGAAACTGAGGTAGACATGGAAAAAGTATTTCAAGAAATAATGACAGAAAACTTTCCTGAGATAAAGAAGAAAAAAAAACACACAAATCCAAGATGCTCACAGAGTCCCAAGCAAAATGAATCCCAGAAGACCAACCCCAAGGCACATTATAATTAAATTGGCAAACAACATCAACAAAGTAAGAATCTTAAAAGTAACCAGAGAGAGACAGAAAGTTACATACAAAGGAACCCCCATCAGACTAGCAACTGATTTCTCAACAGAAACTTATCAGACCAGAAGGGAATGGGATGAAATATACAAAGTCATGCAAAGGAAGGGTCTGAATCCAAGAATACTGTACCCAGCAAGGCTATCAATCAAAATTGAAGGGGAAATCAGGAGCTTCACAGACAAAAAAAGACTGAAGGAATTTATCTCCACCAAGCCAGCAATGCAAGAAATGCTTAAGGGTCTACTGTAAAAATAAATAGGAAGCGAAGAAGGAACATGGGTATAGAATAAAAATGGCATCAAATGAGTACCTATCAATAATAACCTTAAATGTAAATAGATTAAATGCTCCAATCAAAAGACATAGGGTGAGTCGAGTCGTTTCCTCGGCCGGATGCGGACGGTTGGTTCGCTGCGCCCGTTCCTCCCGCTTCTCCCGCCCCGTGGCTGCCCTCCGCGCCGCTCCACCGCTGGCAGGATGGCCCACAAGCAGATCTACTACTCAGACAAGTACTTCGACAAGCACTACGAGTACCGGCATGTCATGTTACCCAGAGAACTTTCCAAACAAGTACCCAAAACCCATCTGATGTCAGAAGAGGAGTGGAGGAGACTTGGTGTCCAACAGAGTCTTGGCTGGGTTCATTACATGATTCATGAACCAGAACCACATATTCTTCTCTTTCGACGACCTCTTCCAAAGGATCAACAAAAATGAAGATACTGGGGATTGTTAATTAAATCTTTTTCAAATTTAATGTATATGTGTATATAAGTAGTATTCAGTGAATACTTGAAAATGTACAAATCATTCATCCATACCTGTGCATGAGCTGTATTCTTCACAGCAACAGAGCTCAGTTAAATGCAACTACAAGTAGGTTATTGTAGGGTGTTTTAAGATAAAATTTCTCCTAGTTACTTTTTCTCTTAAATATAAGTGCCTGTTTGACTTTACCTGTTACTTTTGTTTAATAAAGTTTGTATGTTGAAAAAAAAAAAAAAAAGACATAGGGTAACAGACTGGATAAGAAAACAAGACCCATACATCTGTTGTCTACAAGAAACCCACCTCAGAAAAAACGATTCACACAGACTGAGGGTGAAGGGATGGAAAAAAGTTTTCCAGGAGAATGGAAATGAAAAAAAATCTGGGGTAGCAATACTTATATCTGACAAATTAGATCTCAGAGTGAAGGACATAACAAAAGATAATGAAGGCCACTTCATAATACTAAAAGAAACAATCCAACAAGAAGAAATAACCCTGGTAAATATATATGCACCCAATATTGGAGCACCCAAATACATTAAAAAAAAAAAAAAAAAAAAAAAAAAAAAAAAAAAAAAAAAAAAAAAAAACCTGCTGGAGGACATTAAGGGAGAGATTAATAGCAATACAATCATAGTAGGAGATTTTAATACCCACTGTCACCCTTGGACAAATCATCTAAACAAAAAATCAGCAAAGAAATATCAATCCTAAATGACTCACTAGATCAGATGGAATTAATCGACATCTTAAGAACATTCCACCCCAAAGCCACAGAATATATATTCTTCTCAAGTGCACATGGGACATTCTCAAAGATAGACCACATTTTGGGACATAGGCAAAGTCTCTTCAAGTTCAAGAAGATAGAAATCATATCAAGCATCTTCTCAGATCATAGTGGCATAAAACTGGAAATTTTAACTACAATAAAAATAACCCAAAAAAATCAAACACATGGAGACTAAACAGCATACTATTAAACAAGGACTGGGTTACCACAGAAATCAAGGAAAAAGTTAAAAACATCCTGGAAACAAATGACAATGAAAACACAACATTCCAAAATCTATGGGACACAGCAAAAGCAGTTTTGAGAGGGAAGTTCATATCCCTACAAGCCTATTGCAAAAAACAAGAAAAAATGGCCAACAAATTATCTAACTCTACAACTCAAAAAGTTAGAAAAAGAGCAACAAGAAAAAGCCAGTGTAAGCAGAAGGAAGAAAATATCAAAAATCAGAGCAGAGATAAACAACATAGAGCCAAAGAAACAATACATAAGATCAACAAAACCAAGAGCTGGTTCTTTGAAAGGATAAACAAGATAGATGAACCCTCTAGCCAGGCTAACCAAGAAACAAAGAGAGAGGACACAAATAAACAAAATCAGAAATGAAAGAGGTGAAATAACAACAGACCCCACTGAAATACAACGAATTGTTACAAAATACTATGAACAACTCTATTCCAACAAACTGAACAACCTGGAGGAAATGGACATATTCCTAGAAAAATACAAACTTCCAAAACTCAATCAGGAAGAATCTAAAAATCTCAATAGACCAGTGACTTGGGAAGAAATTGAAACAGTCATCAAAAAGCTTCCAGCAAACAAAAGCCCAGGGCCAGATGGCTTCACAGGAGAGTTTTACCAAACATTCAAGGAAGAACTAAAACCTATCCTCCTCAGACTATTCCAAAAAATTCAAGAGAAAGGAACACTTCCAAACTCCTTCTATGAAGCCAGCATCACCCTAATACCAAAACCAGATAAAGACAACTCAATGAAAGAAAATTATAGGCCAATATCCCTCATGGACATAGATGCCAAAATCCTCAACAAAATTCTAGCAAGTCGGCTCCAGCAGAACATCACAAAGATCATACACCATGACCAAGTAGGATTTATTCCAGGAATGCAAGGATGGTACAATATCCACAAATCAATAAACGTGATACATCACATAAACAAATTGAAAGATAAAAATCATATAGTCATATCAATTAATGCAGAAAAAGTATTTGATAAAATCCAACACCCTTTCCTGATAAAAACTCTCAACAAGGTGGGAGTACAAGGATCATACCTCAACATAATAAAAGCTATATATGATAAACCCACAGCCAACATCATACTCAATGGGCAAAAATTAAACCATTCCCTCTAAGAACAGGAACAAGACAGGGATGCCCGCTCTCGCCACTCCTGTTTGACATAGTACTGGAAGTAATAGCCATTGCAATTAGACAAGAAGAGGAAATAAAAGGCATCCAAATTGGAAAAGAAGAAGTAAAGTTATCCTTATTTGCAGATGACATGATATTGTACCTAAAAAAACCAAAAGACTCCATTAAAAAACTAATTGACTTAATAAATGATTTTGGCAATGTAGCAGGATACAAAATTAACGCCAAGAAATCCATGGCATTTCTATACACCAACAGTGAAATTACAGAAACAGAGACTAAAAAAGCAATTCCATTTACCATCGCACCAAAAAAATTAAGATTCCTAGGAATAAATTTAACTAAGGAAGTAAAGGACCTATATGCGGAAAACTACATGACACTGAAAAAAGAGATAGAGGAAGATGTAAACAGATGGAAGAACATACCATGTTCATGGATTGATAGAATCAACATCATCAAAATATCCATACTTCCTAAAGCAATCTATAGGTTCAAGGCACTCCCCATTAAAATACCAATGGCATATTTCACTGACCTAGAAAAAACTCTCCAAAAGTTCATTTGGAACAATAAAAGACCCCGAATAGCCACAGCAATCCTGAGAAAGAAGAGTAAAGTAGGAGGGATCTCAATACCAGACTTCAAACTGTATTACAAAGCCACTGTTCTCAAAACAGCCTGGTACTGGCACAAGAACGGACATATAGATCAATGGAATCGAATCGAGAACCCAGATATCAACCCAAATAACTATGCTCAATTAATATTTGACAAAGGAGGCACGGATATACAATGGAGTCAAGACAGTCTCTTCAATAAATGGTGTTGGGAAAATTGGACAGATACATGCAAAAGAATGAAACTAGATCACCAACTTACACCATACACAAAAATTAACTCAAAATGGATACAGGATTTAAACATCAGATGGGAAACCATAAAAATACTAGAAGCATCCACAGGCAGCAAAATCTCAGACATATGCCAAAAGAACTTGTTCACTGATACTGCCTCTAGGCAATAGAAGCTAAAGAGAAAATAAACAAATGGGACTACATCAAAATAAAAAGCTTTTTTATAGCAAAAGAAACCATCAACAAAACAATAAGAAAGCCCACTATGTGGGAGAACATATTTGCAAATGTTACCACTGATAAAGGTTTTAATCTCCAACATCTACAGACAGCTTATACAACTAAATAAAAGGAAGATGAATGATCCAATTAAAAAATGGGCAATGGACCTAAATATAATATTTTCAAAAGAAGACAGAAGAAAGGCCAAAAGGCACATGAAAACATGCTCAAAGTCATTAATTATCTGAGAGATGCAAATCAAAACAACAATGCGGTACCATCTCACACCTGTCAGAATGGCCAACATCAACAAATCAACAAACGACAAGTGTTGGCGAGGTTGTGGAGAAAAAGGAACCCTCGTGCACTGCTGGTGGGAATGCAGACTGGTGCAACCACTGTGGAGAACAGTGTGCAGTTTCCTCAAAAAACTGAAAATGGAACTCCCATTTGACCCAGTAATCCCACTCCTAGGAATATATCCCAAGAAACTAGAAACACCCATCAGAAGGGATATATGCACCCCTATGTTCATAGCAGCACAATCTACAATAGCTAGAATCTGGAAACAGCCTAGGTGCCAGTCAGCAGATGATTGGATCAAAAAACTATTGTACATCTACACAATGGAATACTATGCTGCCATAAAAAAGAAGGAATTCTCATCATTTGCAGCAACCTGGATGGAATTGGAGAACATCATGCTGAGTGAAATAAGCCAATCAATGAAAGAGAAACACCACATGATCTCATTTATGGATAATAGAGAACATTATAAACTGATGAACCAAAAGATAGATATAGAGACAGTAAAGCAACAAGCAGACTGTCAAATTACAGCAGGTTGGGTAGGGAAGGACTTGTATACATGCATATAAGTACAACCAATGGACATAAAACTCTGGGGAGGGAGGGTATGTATGGGGAGGCAATGTTAAAATATGTACACAGAAAATAATTTAATTTTAAAAATTTAAAAAAGAAAGAAAAAAAGAAAAAGGAACCCTCATGCACTGCTGGTGAGAATGCAGATTGGTGCAGCCACTGTGGAAAACCTTATGGAGTTTCCTCAAAAAATTAAAAATGGAACTGCCATTTGACCCAGTGATCCCTCTTCTAGGACTATATCCCAAAAACTCAGAAACCCCAATCAGAAAGGATATATGCACCTCTATGTTCATAGCAACACAATTCACCATAGATAAGATTTGGAAACAGCCTAGAGTCCATCAGTAGATGAGTGGATTAGAAAAGCTGTGGTGAATTTACACAATGGAATACTACACTGCTGTAAAAAAGAAAGAACTCTTACAATTTGCAACAGCATGGATGAACCTGGAAAGCATTATGCTAAGGGAAGTATGCCAGTTGGAGAAAGATAAGTATCACATGATCTCACTCATTTGTGGAATATAATGAACAATATAAACTGATGAACAAAAATAGATCCCGAGACAGAGAAGCATTGAACATACCATTAGACTTTAGAGGGAAGCCAGGGCTGGGTGAGGGGTGGGTGGGTAACAGATCAACCCAAGGACTTGTATGTATGCATATAAGCCTAACCCATGGACACAGACAGTAGGGGGCTGAGGCCTGTGCTGAGGGGAGGGAGCAGGCGGGGAAAGGTCAGTGGGGGTGGGGGGGAAGAAACATATGTAATACTTTAAACAATAAAAAATAAAATAGAAGACACAAATGGCCAATAATTATTTTAAAAC